AACTGTTTCATTACTGAATTCATCATGTCTGGTGGATCACCAGTGCCTAGGATAGATAAGAGTCTGGCACATAATAAGTGCTTGGGAAATACTTGATGAATGAATAAAATAAGGAGCAATCAATGCTTGTTGAAGTAACGAGGAGTTCTGTGTATTAAGAGGGATAATCCAGTGGGAAATAATAGTGGAAAGGTGAGAAACTGGAGTCAAATGAACACATTAGGAGTCAGTAGCATAGTCATTATAGAATAAGGGGATCCTGAACTTGTTCATATTAGTGATGGCAGAGACATTTTAGTGATAAGATTTAAGAGAATATAGTGACTAAGTAGACTTGGAATGCAGGAGAGAGAAGATTCTGAGATGAAACTAGGAAGTTAGAGCTGAGTAGCTGAAAAGGCTGTGATGTCATTCTGTCTGAACGGGAAAACCTAGGGAAAAGATTTGGAAAGGAATTGTGTTGTGTTCAGATTTGGACAGGTTGAATTTGAAGTGTAAGAAAGATACTAAATGGAAATTCTAACAGGCAGTTGGAAAGACTTCTGAAAAATATTTTGAGAAGAGTCAGGGTAGTCATTCATGTAGGAAGTGTGGGAGTGGATGAAGTCACCTACAGAGAGAAGACTGAAGAGAGAATCTCAGAGTGTCATAGAGCCAAGGGAGGAGAATCTGGACCTGATAAGGCAGTGGCCATTAGCAAGATCATTCTGGTCTCTAAACTTCTGACATCTTAACGTTGTGCATGAAGTAGCTCAGGCCCAGGCTTGATTCTGGGCGGGAGCAAAGGTTGATTTGCACATCAGGAGACAAATTTGTAGGCCTATAGCAAAGTCTAAGCAATCCTAGGAACAGTTAGGAAGTCGACAGTCCAAGGCTTATGTCCACTTCTTTGGAAACAAAAATCCAGGACTAAGGCATTAGCAGTTTATAGTAGAGTTGGAATGAGTCATCCAGAATTGATATGGACCCTTATAGCAGGGATTATTTCTATTAAAAAATAAAAACTCCCCATGTCCGATTTCTCTATTCCTCTTTAAACAACACTTTTTAAAAGGGTTTCTGTACTTGATGTTTCCAGTTTCTCCCCTTATATTGTCTCCGTCACACACTCCAGGTAGGCTTTCTTTCTTACTATTCCACTGAAAGCACTGTTATTAAATCATACAGCTTTCATCTTGCCACAATCAGGATTAAGTTTTTAGTCCTCAGATTATTTGCCACAGTTGCACACTCACTGCTTCCTAAAGTACTTTCTTCCTTTGGTTTCTGGATACCATACTCTCTCATTATTTTCTTCCTTTTCTTGACCTCTAAATGTAGTGCCCAGGTGATTTCTTTCAGTTCTTTGGCTTTAAATAAAAGTAAAATGTTGATGACTCCCAAATACCTGTCTGTAGTTCTGACCTTTTCCCTGAGCTCCAGGATAATATACAACCATTTCAGTACTTTCTCTTAGTATCCAGTAAATCATCTTAGCAAATATATCTGAAACAGAATACCCCCTCAAACTTGTGCTTTTCCAGGTCTTCCCCTTCTCAGTGACTGGTGCCAGCATTCCTCATTTTAGACTAGAAACGTAGGAGTGATCCCTAACTTTTCTTTTTCCTCTCACCATACCATATGCAGTCCACCAGTAAGTCCAGTCCTGTTAGCTCTCCCTTCATAATAGCCCTGATGCACTCACCTGCGCTGCTGCCACCTTTCTTCAATAACTGCAGTAGCCTTCTTTTCCCTCCTTGCTTTCACTTGTGCCCCACCAGCATCTCTTCTCTCTACAGTAGCCAACTTGAGTGAGCATGTATTTCCTCTGTGGCTTTCCATCATGCTTAGAATAAAATCCAAAGTCCTTACCATGCATGACCTGTGAGGTCAGGTCTTACATGATTTTTCCTCAAGCCATTGCTCCAGTCTTTTTTACCATTTTCCCTCTTGCTCACTGCACTCCAGCCACACCAGCCTCTTTGTTGTTCCTCAGATAAGCTAAGTACACTTTTGTATTTCCTGTTTCCTTTGCTTGGCAAGCTCTTTCTTTGGATATCCATATGGCATTTTCTCACTTTCATTTAGATTTCTACTCAAATGTAATCTTCAGATGATTACCCTATCAAAAATACCCTGTATCCAAAAACCCTAGAAAGTACCAATTTTTAAAGAGAGAACAGAAAAGAGTTATCTGTAAAGGAAACAAGTAAAAACTGGTAGAAGAAAAACAAAAAACAGAATATAATATATCTACAAGGGTACTCTAAGCAGAGGAAATATGTACAGAGGTGAGAAAGTGAATGTCAAATAAACTGGTACAGTGAGATGGGAAGGATCTTTTTAAACGATTACCTGTACCCCAGGAGAAAATGCCAAACTATGTGTATGACCATTGCCCTGGCAAAATTTAGTATTCATTGAATTGTGTCTTTACCAAATGTTAATATTTATTTAATTCTGTTCTTTACCTCCTTATTATGCTAGTTAGTATCTTAGTGCTGTTGTAACAGAAATACCACAAGTGGGTGTTTTTAATCAACAAAAATTTATTTTCTCACAGTTCAGGAGGCTAGAAATCAGAATTCAGGACACCAGCTCTAGGGGAAGGTCCTCTCTCTGTCTGTTCCAGGAGAAAGTCCTTGTCTCAGCTTCTCTAGCCCCAGTGCTCAATTCCTTGGCGATCTCTACATGACGTCTATATTTTCCTCATTTGTGCTTGTTTCTCTCTGTCTAATCTGCTCTTTTTACGTCTCTAACGTCGTAAGGTTTAAGACACACATCATTAGGTTTAAGACACACCATACACTGATGATGACCTTATTAGCATAACAGAGAAAACCCTATTCCCAAATGAGATTACTGCATCTACAGGTACAGGGGTTAGGATTCCATCACATAATATTGGGGGACACAATTCAATCCATAATACCCTCCGTTACCTCTTTTTCTGTCCATGGTTCTCTTGTTTATTGTTGATCTTTTATTTCTTTTCATCCCTGGCAGTGTAGACTTTCTTGCTTGATGTATGAATTGGTTGTTTTCCTAGCTTGTAACTTCTGACTTCATCCCTACCTTTTTGGCACTTCTGTAGATTAATTCAATAATGTCTCCCTGTCTGAACTAGCCTTGAAACCTTCCCATCACCCGTGCTATCCTAGAAGGCAACTTCTACTACAAGGATTTGAATCACATGCAGTCAGTCCTCCTTACTCAAAGATACTGTATTTGTGAATTTGCTTAAAATTTATATGTGACCTGAAAATCAATATTTGCAGCAGTTTTACAGACATGCACAGAGCTGCAAAAAATTTGAGTCACCTGACACACACATTCCCATCTGAAGTCAAACAAGGCTATACTCTGCCTGCTTGTTTTAGCTCTCATACTGTAAAAGTGTCCTTTTCATGGTCTGTTTAGTACCAAGTTTTTCAAATTTTTGTGTTTTTTGTTGGTGAGTTTGCAAAGTGCTAATCATAAGGAGGCTGTGATGTACCTTATGGAGAATATGTGTATTAGATAAGCTTCATTTGTGCATGACTTATAGTGCTGTTGCTGTGAGTTCAGTATTAATAAATGAACAATGTATATTAAATAATGTATATTTAAAAAGACGTACATAAAACGAGGTTATATGTTGATTGGCCGATGAAAGTGTTATGACCAGAGGCTCACTGGAACTTACCCTGTATTTCACATAGGAGCAATAGTTCTGTATTTACTAATTCAGTGTTTGGTGGTAACTTTATAGAACATAACTACCACGGATAATGGTAATTTACTGTGTGTGTATGTATGTGTGTGTATGAAACTAATATATAAGCAATTAAGAATATATGACACTGTCCAAGCCCAGTAAAACCATGAGAGTAACGAGGTACAGGAATCCAGTGATAAGGCCCAGAAGGCACAAGGGGAGTAGGAAGCTGATGATAGGGAACACAAAGTAGAGTAAGGATATTGTTGATGTGTTCTGAGATTGTTAACCATTGTCATAGGGCAACATTTGTAGTAACTGTTAAATGGGAGACTATTTTGTCCTGTAAGCCTTCATCTTAAGTGAGAATAACAGCACAATTAGAAGAGTGTAGTCAATGTCACTTAATTGTGTATGTAAAAAAATTTTTGAAATGCCGTATCTTTGGCTATGTGTATTTCCCCCCCCAAAAAAAAAAAAAAAAGTTGAGAATTTAGAGGGTTAAAATGTTGTGGGGTTGTTAACTAATGTCATAAAACAGCATGTGTGTTACTGTTACATGAGAAACTATCTGTTCTGTAAGCCTTCACCTGAAGTACAATAAAATATTAAAAAAAAAAAAAAAGAATATATGACACTGTCCAACTGGAGAAAGATATTATATTTAAGGAAGGCTAACAAAACAAGTTTCATGTATAATTGGGGTGCCATGAAGAGGATTGACCTGTAGGTCAGTAGGGCATAGTAATCTGCTTTTGGAAAACAAACATGGTAAAACAGGAAGGTGATATTTATAAGTGGTTAGTGCTATAATAAGGGAAATGAACTACAGAAGCTCAGAGTCAAGAAAGGACTAGAGAGAGATTAACTTTTGAACTGAATCTGAAGGATACAAAGGAATTTGGCATGTGGTAAAAGGGGGAAGATGTTCCTGATCACACAAAAAAGAGAAATGTCATGGATATAATTTAGTGATCCATCACAGACTTCACACTTTGATGCCCAGGGTACCTTTCCCAATGTAAACTCAGCTTTTTAATCTCTTTTCTCCATTCTCCATTAGCCAGCTCTCCAAGTCAGTCTTATATTCTCACCCTCTTTAAGTGAGTTGTTTTATTGTTTTGTTAACCCTAGTACTTCAGCTCCCATCTATTATTTTTTAGACTACATAACTTTTCTATCTTTCCCTCTTGCTGTTTTCTGGCCAGATAGCAAGCCCTTATTTACATAATCATTTATTTATTCTGCAGATTTAGTCTCAGTAGCCAGATAGTATGATATCACTTGAAACATCTTCATTTTCTTTTCTTTTTTTTACCCCCAGGATGGGAGAACAGTCAAAAAACCACAAAATCAACTCAAACACAAGAGTCATCATTGCAGGGACTGATTCTAAAAAGATCCAAAAGGAATGGACCAAGGGACTTCAAATCAGAAAAACCGTGTGTATATGAAGACAGATTAAAGAAACAGCCTAATAAAAATGATAGTTTTCAGATCATTTCAGTCACCCACAAAAAAATCCTTACTATAGAAAGAATCCATAAAAATATTGAATTTGGCCAAAACTTCAACCCGAAGTCAGACCTTATTAAGCAACAGATGGTAAATAGAGAAATATCACCCTCAAAATGTGAAACACAAGGAAATAGCTTCAAACAGAATTCAGGTTTACTTAACCAACCAAAAGTCAACACAGCAGAGAAACGCTATAAATGTAATATATGTGAGAAAACCTTCACTAACAATTCATCCCTTCGTAAACATCTGAAAAACCATACTGGAGAGAAATTATTTAAATGCAAAGAATGTTTGAAAGCCTTCAGCCAAAGTTCAGCTCTTATTCAACATCAAATAACTCATACTGGAGAGAAACCCTATGTATGTAAAGAATGTGGAAAAGCCTTCACTCTTAGTACATCCCTTTATAAACATCTGAGAACCCATACTGTAGAGAAATCCTATAGATGTAAAGAATGTGGTAAATCCTTCAGCCGAAGATCAGGCCTTTTCATACATCAAAAAGTCCATGCTCAAGAAAATCCCTATAAATATAATCCAGGTAGAAAGTCATCCCTGGGATGTCAGAGAATTCATCCCAGAAAGAAGTCTTATTTATGTAATGAATGTGGCAACACCTTTAAGTCTAGCTCATCTCTTCGTTATCACCAGAGAATTCACACTGGAGAGAAACCCTTTAAATGTAGTGAATGTGGGAGAGCCTTCAGTCAGAGTGCATCTCTTATCCAACATGAGAGAATTCACACTGGAGAAAAACCGTATAGATGTAATGAATGTGGAAAAGGTTTCACTTCTATTTCACGACTTAATAGGCATCGAATAATTCATACTGGTGAGAAGTTTTATAATTGTAATGAATGTGGTAAAGCCTTAAGTTCCCACTCAACACTTATTATTCATGAGAGAATTCATACTGGAGAGAAACCGTGTAAATGTAAAGTATGTGGAAAAGCTTTCAGACAAAGTTCAGCTCTCATTCAACATCAGAGAATGCATACTGGAGAAAGACCCTATAAATGTAATGAGTGTGGGAAAACATTCAGGTGTAACTCATCCCTTAGTAATCATCAGAGAATTCATACTGGAGAGAAACCATATCGATGTGAGGAATGTGGAATATCTTTTGGCCAAAGTTCAGCTCTTATTCAACATCGGAGAATTCATACAGGAGAGAAACCCTTTGAATGTAATACATGTGGGAAGACTTTTAGACAGAGCTCATCACGTATTGCACATCAGAGAATTCATACTGGAGAGAAACCTTATGAATGTAACACATGTGGAAAACTTTTCAACCACAGGTCTTCCCTTACTAATCACTATAAAACTCATATTGCGGAGAATCCCTAGAAAATATATTTGCGTGTGTGAAAGCCTTAAACCAAAGCTCATCAAAGAATACATACTTGACAGTGATGTAATAAATGTAATGAGTATGAGAAAATTTCTACGATAATTTAGTCCTTAAATTCCAAGGATAAACCTTGACCATGTAATAAGTATGAGGAAAGCATCCATACACTTTTAAAATAACCTGGAATGAAGATTTCCACAACAGGATACATTGACTCAGACCATTTGTAAAATGAAAATGTTTTTGTTGTTGTTGTCTTATAGCAGTGTCAGTATACACTAGATACTACAAGTGATCATCATAAACATCTGAGGGGTGGTTATGTGTGCTGAATTTCTCACTAGAAAAATACCAAACTGTATAGTAGTATATTTTTATAACATTTTAATAACATGAATTTATACATTTTTAGAGAAAAGGACCAAATAAAAGATAAAAATAAAATGTAAACTACCTCTTAATCTGTGGAGTTTGTCCTTTTCCTGACCTGATGTCACTTTGTGCATGGATTTCATTAAAAAAGAAATTTTTTTTTTATTCTCTTCCTCTTTTGTTGTAATTGCTGTGAATAGGGAGTTTTCTATCCAATTCCTAATTCTGCCCTCAGAATTTTTTTTTGCTGCTCTGCAGTCATTGATTATGAAAATCTACCTGTTACATACTGTGAGCTGTCATCGTAGGTATATTAAATGCAAAACAAATTTGCAAGGTTAAAGCTATTATTTTTTTTTTTTAATTGACAGTAAAAGGACCTATCAGAAGAAGTTTAACCCCTGTGGCAAAATCTTGAAAAGGATATCAGTTATAAAATAAAAAGTATATTTTCCTCACTTGGTGTTCTCTAGTATCAGAACAGTTTAATACTTTAGTGAGAAAGAAAAAATGTGAAGTAAATCTAAAAAAATTTTTTTTTAATCCCCATTTTTGGGGCAGGCACTGTACTTCACACAAGTTTTAAAAAGAAGCCACAAATTGAGAGGAAGGATATGAAGTTGAAGAGGTTAATAAATTAGCAGATTATTATATGTTACACTATGAAAATGTGATTGTTTTGCAGGCAAAGAGATAAGTTTGACAATATTGCAATACATAAGTGTTATATAGAGCTTGCACAGGATGACAAAAAGTGATGGATCTAACCAAGGAATCCTGGGAGAGATCAGAGAAAGCTTTCCACTAATATCTGAGTCAAGTGTTGGAATAATAGAAATTCTCTGGAGGATAAGATGAGGATTCCAAATAGGGAACGGCATGTGGAAAAGTACAGGTGGGTAATAGCATGCAAGGAATGTTTGTAGAAACTTAAGTATAGAACTAATAAGCAGGAGAATGACAGATAACTGAAGCTTGAGAAAAGGACAAAGTCCAGATAACAAAAAGCCTTTTTTCACCATGCTAAGGAGTTTGGATTTTATCCGGAAATTTATGCAGTCTTTAAAGATTTTAAGCAATGGAAATTATAACAATGCAGAGGATGAATTTAAGAGGTTGAATAAAGCTGAACAGGCTGAAGCCTAGAAATGTGGACTTTTATAGTAATCCAAGTGATAGATGAATGAGGGTCCAAACTCAAGCAGGGACAGTTGAGATGGTGGATAGGAGACAGATGTATTAGGATAAATAAGACATGGTTTTTACAGGTAAATGTGTGAGGCTGATGAGTGAGAAGCCGGCTAAGTTGCCTCCCGCATAGGGTTGCTAGTTGTCCTACCTATTAAATACAGGACATATCCTGTATTTAATAACTTTGCCCTGCATCATGTATTGACTTTGTCAGGACACCCTAAATGTATTGAGTGTTTTTGAATAGAGAATTTCAGCAGTTATGGCTATTTTGCTGTCACAGTAATTGACACTTAAATCACTAAAATGGCAACATTAGCTAAAATCATACCTCAAGTAAATATCTGAACAATATCTTAAGGTCTGTCCCATAGGTTTGGCTGAAGGAAGACCAAAATACGGGACTGAGAAAAGTACTTATTGCCCATATTAAAAGACTTTTAGCCAAAGTCCCAAGTAATGAGCAAATAATCACCACTAATTAGAGGTAACTTCAAATCAGTACACATACTCTGAAAATATTATCTCACTCTAGTAGCCATGCTTCTGAAAGTTAGAATGTCAGTGACAGCCCCAGGTTTCTGAAAGCCAGCCAGTCAGTGGCAGTGCCATGTTTCTACACAATAATCAGCAATTGCCTCACTAGTGACTATGCTCCTAAAAGTCTACCAGTCAATAACTGCCTTACTTCAGTGACCACATGAACACAGTTGAAAGTTCTTCAATCTGTAAACACCTGCTTCTAAAAATCTGTCAATCCCTGGACACAAGACTCTTCAAAATCCTAAATAAAAGATCAGCTCTGACTTTGTTCGGGGAAACTACCTTGCAAGTAGAGCTCTCCCTTTCAGGTAAACAGTCCCTTTGAAGCTCCTTCTGTGGTATGGAATTGTTCAATATAAAAAATGATGGAAAGTCAGATATAACCAGCCTATGCTACAGCTAAGTATAAAGAGATGTCTGATTTCCTCAACTAGTCCCAATTGAAGTGATACTATAACATTTTCTGATTAAGGAAAGTTCAAATGAAGATAAAGTATTCATAGCACAAGTTGTACGGCCTTCTACATTGTATGTCATAATCAGTCTTACAGCTCAAATGACTGTACCACTACCAAAATTATTTTCTGATTCCAAAATAGCAATGAATTTTCAAGTACTGTGATAAAATCTACTGCAATAATACAATATGCAATAGGTTCGTTTACTATTACAGAGATTATCAAAGATCTAAAGTGCCTCATTGTTTTACAACATAGCCCTAGATGTAAGCACAATGCAGGAAAAAAAAAAATTTCCTGACTGAGGCGTTCTAATTTTGTAAGTGCTTATTTATCATTAAATCAACTAGAAACATCATAACTTAAATTCAACAATACTATCTAGAGGTAGAAAACTATTACCTTTTGCATGTTTATAGAATCTGGTAAAGAGATTTTGTGAAGAGGTAGTATTGGAATAATTTAAACGTCTGGTTGTACCAACTAAACAGTTTATCTTCTTCAGTGTACTTTTAAATATTCTGCAGCTACCATAGGCCCAACTCATGGCTTTTAAGACAAGATAAATCTTAGACATAAGACAAAAATTATGTAAATTCATATTTGAGAACTAAGAAGTATGTTATAAACATGAAATCAAGGCAATTCTGGAAAACAAAAAACTACAGACATTTATTGATAAACATTTACCAGTAAGTAACTAGGTGGGCTGAGTTTTGGAGGAAAAAAGAGAACAAAGGTCTGCATACAGCAAACAACTTCCTATTCTTCTTGAATGTTATAAAATTTTCTTCAAACTGTGGATGAAAATTTAGATAATTTACTCTCTTCTTTTAATGGTAAGCTAAAGAACTTGGGCCACCCATGTAACTATTTTGAGAGACCATGAGTGTTTGGAGGGTAGAAGGAGTTACTTCTAATGACTCTCCTTTTTGTAGTTTTAATGCTATTGAAGGAGAGATCTCTGTTAATTCCCCAGAGGCTGGTTATGCTGTCTGTTGCTGGTCTCCTGTGGGCAGTAGACAGCTGAATTTGTTCTTGTTCTCTCTTTTTTAAATTAAAACTTTTTTTCTAAGATGACCTGGTTTTTACAATAAAAACAAACACTAGATTTGCAGTCTGAAAGATTGTTGGGTTGTATTTGAAGTTGTTGGAGTTGTAAAGCTATATGTTTATCTGGTTGTATTTGTGAGACTTTTTCTTTAAATTGTTCTGTTTTTTAACAATTTTTTCTAATATCTGGGTTCTTTGTAATAGTTTACTAAGAATGATAGGGTTAGATGGGAATTCATTTTCTCAAAATGATTACTAAAATTTTAAATTGTTTCCAAACAGTCTGTAGCATTTAGAATAGTTAACAACTTAAGTATACTTGAAAACAATCTAGAACAACAACCCTAAACACCTTAGTTTTGAAAACTTAGTTTTCAATAATGCAGTTTTGAAGGCTTAGTAAGTAGTTTAGAATCAAGTTTACAGAAAGAGGAATTATCTCTGAAGGGGTAGAAAGAGGAATTACTGCCAAACAGAGCAGAAATAGGAAATACCTCTGAAGAGCAAAAAGAGAACTGTTACTGAGAAGACAGAGCAGTTGTGGAGTTCTAACAAGTTTAAACAAAT